TTATTAAAGTTATACTTAGATCATAAAAATACTTACTAGAGCATAGAGTGGTCACCCTATTCAAGTTAATAATATATTATTTATTATACAAAATGAAAATTAATATAAATGCATATATTATATATAATTAAACCACTTACACGACTAGAAAAGGCAAATTTAAGTTTTTGTCTAAATTTCAAGTCTCTACAAATATTTTTAACTGAATAATATTTAAATAAACAATTTTAAATAATAACAACATTTTTATTTTCGTAAATTTTTCCGTAATTTCTACGTATTTTTCAATTGTATACCATATTAAAAAAAATTACGATCAAAACAAATAAACGACTGGCTATGTTAATAGGAAAAAAATTGTTTTCGTTCCTTTTTTCAATTAAAGCAATAAATTCTGGTATAGGAAACATCGTGTGAAGAAATTAAAAACAACGAATACTCGTACTTGCCATTTTCCCTATAATTTTCTTTCGGGTTTTTCCCAATAATTTCAAAAACCCCTTGAAAAATCAAACAATGACCTCTCGAATACATCAACTAAACAACTTTTATTTTCAGAAAAGATACTACACTCTATACAAATCTAAACTAAAAACAATTAACTTAAGTCGTTCTCTTCTAAAGTCAAAGATATATTAAATAACTTAACCTCACGGTGTTCTCAGGTAACAAGTTTATTGCCCATAACAAGAAAAAAAAAAGGTTAGGTAAAGTATAAAACAATATATTAATTACTAAAATTTAGAGAGCAGATGTTTATGTTCAAAATAATTTAAAAATATGCACTGTAAAGTATAAAAAGACATCCTAGGATAATAGGGTTGGGTGCAGCCATTTTAATAGATAACTTAATGTAAGCAACAATACATCATTACTTACGAAAAAACGATTCTGAGCGAAGTTCAGTTGATAGTGATGTTTTGTCAACAATATATATGTTGCTTTATAGTGTAATAATTAAAATGTTTTATATATTTTCTTTAATAATATTTTTATAATGTTGTATCGATTTTTACAGTTTTCCTACGTTTTTTCCGATTTTCCTATGTTTTATCCCATTTTCTGGAGAAAATTCTTGAGAAAATCAAAAAATGATCTTTCTAAAGTACCTTGCTAGTAAAACTTCCTTTCAGAAAAATTGCTGTCATTATAAATTGAAGCGAAATTGCTGGTAGAAAAGTTGTCCACAGAAAAAAAAATATCTTTGTAAAACTTCTTAAATAAACTTAAACTTCTTCCATAAACTTCTTCACTTCACTCAGAATCTAGAACAAAGTAGGTAATAGTTGAAAAATATTTCGGCTACTTTTCCGGTGAATAATTTTTCTACCAGTAATTTCCCTCTGATTTATAATGCATTTACAATAGCACTTTTTCTGATAGGAAATCTAACTGGAAAGGTACTTTAAAGAGGTCATTTTTTAATTTTCCCAGGAGTGTTCTCAGAAAATGGGAAAAATCGAGAATACATGAAAATTCGGGGAACTCGTAGAAAAAATGGAAATTGGTATAATATTAAATAATTACTATTAAAGAAAATACATAATGCCTATTTAATTACTTTACCATAAAATGGCATATATATTGTCAACACAAAGTATTATCAACTGATCCCCGCTCAGAATCGGTTTTTTCTTAGCAATGGTTTATCGTTACTCACAGATTTCCTTATAATTCTCTTCTGTATACTACCTTCTCAACTTCCAACCTAAAACAGTGTCTGCATCCATGCCGATTATCCTAGCTTTCTTTTTTGTCTTATGTTATTGTTTTGCCTTTATTTTTTGGTCGAAATTCCATAAGTGTATATCAAGTGATCTATTTAAGTGGGTACATTCATTATCTTGGAAAGTATTAACTTTTTTCAGAATTTATTTTCTAGAAATTTTAGAAACAAGCCGCTCTACAATTTTATATTTATGTTATTTTGTGTCACCCTTAGTTTTGGGGATAAAACCACTACTTACTTTTAATTTTCAAATGGACACCTATATTAAAAATTCCATAAATAGATGGAGTATTAGTTTAAATAAATTTTATAATTGAAATGTTTGATTTCTATCCAGCCATTGACAATATATTCCACTTTTAAGTTTTGATTGGAGGAAAGTAGTAGTCCATTAACAACGCGCCGCACGCCGTACCACCACACAAATGATACTCCACTACTCTCCTCCAACCCAAGTTTAAAAGTGGAATTTCTCGGAATGACGGAAATCAAATATTTTAATATATGTTGTTATTTTAAAATCAAAAGTAGGTAGTGGTTTTACCCCTAAAAATAAGGGTGATAAAAATAACATAAATATAAAATTATAAAGCTACTTGTTTCTTAAATGTTCTAGAAAACAATTTCGAAAAAAAGTTAATACTTGCCAATATAATGAGTGTACCCATTTAAATGGATCACCTGGTATATACAAAACGCAAAATAATTTTTAAATTAGGGTATTAAACTAAATAAAATTTAGTAGGCTACATATGTTTTAGTACAATTTCTACGAGAACAGAGATTGCGCTAACCTACTGCTGCCTACTATCAGTACTTCTATATTTTTCCCTCTACTTTCGTACATTTTAGTGACATTCCCTGATAGATGAACTAATGTTTTAAAAGTTGGATTGAATTTTAATGCGATAAATTATACTTGCAGGTTGCTACGAGAGGAAGGTGTTATTCAGCTTATACATATATAACTCCTATAAATCTAATCTAAAATATGAATTTAGTGATAGAGCTCTGTTGCTCACGAGTGTATTTTATGTTTCATAATAATTTATCTGGATAAAGTATTTTGTATTATGTTACTTTTATAACTTTCAGAGTGTCATCCCGGACTCCAGCTGGAAAAAGTACAAAAATACCATATCTAGTAATAATCTAATTTACAATTTAAAAAGGTACCTACTTACTAAGTAAGAACATTAATTTCATTTTTTAACTAATTGCATAACCATTAACCTAGTGTGCAAGCGATTTTACACAAATAATAAAAAGTAGTAAATTATGTGCCATATAAATTATATGAGCCCATTATTTCTTAAATTTGTTGTAATTTATTTTTAAAAAAATATTTAATTTTTCAAGTGCCTATATAAAGTTTGAAATACGAGTATATATAGTATTAACTCTGTAGTTTTGGAACTTTTATTTTGCTTTCTTTTTGGCATTTGTAGGATTTTTCGGCATTTAACCTTCACTTTTTTAATAAATTTGATGTGACATTATATTTAACGTAATACAGTTAATAAGGTACCTCTATCAGTTATTTTGACCAATTATTTTCAACTAAGTATCTCATATTTGTTAAGTGTATCGAATAATTTAAATAAAAGTTTTACAGACAAATAAAACGATTTGCGCATGGCTCATGACGTAGACACCAAAGAATACAAAGTGCTCCATTTAAGTAGGTACACTCATTATCTTGGAAAGTATTAAATTTGTTCGGAACTTGTTTTATAGAACATTTAAAAAACACGCAGCTCTATATAGTTTTACATTTACGTTATTTTTCGTTACTCTTATTTTTAAGAGTAAAACTACTACCTTATTTTCTAATTTCCAAATGGGAATCTATATTAAAACATTCATAAATAGATGGAGTATTAGTTAAAATACTTTTTGATGTTAAAATTTTTAATTTCTGTCAATCCATTGACGAGATATTCCGCTTTTAAGTTTTGGTTGGAGGAGAGTAGTGGAGTATCATTTACGTAGCGGTACGGCAAGCGGCGTGTTATTAATGCACCACTGCTCTCCTCCAATCAAAACTTAAAAGCGGAATATCTCGTCAATGGATTAACAGAAATTAATCATTTTATCAACAAGATTTATTTTTCTAGTACTCCATCTATTTATGGTTTTAGTATAGGTTGTTATTTAAAAATCAAAAATAGGTAGTGATTTTATCCCCAAAAATAAGATTGACGAAAAATAATGTGAACGAAAAACTGTATAGCTCCTTGTGTCTTAAATGTTTTATTAAACCAATTCTGAAAAAAGTGAATACGAGTACTTTTCAAGATAATAAGTGTACACACTTAAATGGAACACCTTGTACATCAATTAATTAATTGATAAAATTCTGTATGTTTTTAATATAGTTTACGTTATAATGTTATATCTATTTATAATAAAATAAGACAGTCGGTTTACAATATTTTTGATATATTTCATTTTATCGTTTTTAATTCCAAACGTATCATTCATTATAAAGAATTTTAAGTGATTTTTAAGTTATCAGTTATATTATTAATAACGTTTTTAGTTATAAGTTTAATAATTATTAACAGCATTTTTTTTTAATATACGTTAAAATAACAATAAACACAGATTGATACTATACGTTTTATTTTACACTAACACACCAGTATAATAGTTGCACCTACTTGCATAGTTGTACCGCACTACTAGCGTAGGGCCTAAGCAGTTCCGTTAAGTATTATATATTAACCATACACGGAATTGTACTTTGGAAACAGAATATTCTGGACTATATCAAGGCCAGTATAAAATTATAATATTATGCCGACGATACCGGGACATGTATAATATATTTAAATGAATTCTCGATTTATCATTAGGCTCGTTTAAAGAATTGTATACTGGTAGAATTTGGATTTCTTTTTTTTTTCTATCTTTCCTGTCCCCTATGGTGGTCAACCGGTAATAATATTTTATCGAATATAAAACGGTCATTTTTTTTTTTTTTTAGGCCTATTTTAAATAATAATCTCAACAGAACAAGAGAAAAAAACATGACGCGTAGGCTGGAAAATAAAAATCCGGGTGTCCTTCACATGCACAAGAAAACTAGTCGAAAATTAAAAAAAAAAAAACCAGTCGAAAGAACTTTTCGTCGTTGATCTATCGTGTTACGAGACGACTCGTGATACGAGGAAGAAACCGAAATGGGTTTGGTACGGGAATCGGGGTCACGGGCCGGCGTTTACTCGCTGGCGGCGGTGGCATCTCCTCTCTCTCTACCACAGTTATCGTATACCCGGTTGTAACCATCCGACTCCCCTTATACGATCGCACGAGAGCCATGAACTGGTCAGTGCGATGCCAACCGTGTTAGCGTTCGCGTTATTACGATGATGTCCGTCGTTCATCATCACCGTCGCCGTCCACGTACGGTCGCGTTGGTCATCAATGCGTTCTTCGCCGTCGCGTTATTTTTACCGCTATTGGCTTTGTGTTCGTCCGATTTATTATCGTCTTCACCGTCTGGCAATGGACTCTGGGACGATTTGGTCGGCAAGTGCGGTGCCGGTCCCAGCAATACCGTGGACTGCGTCCGGAGTAGGTTGTACCACTATGTCAGCGACACGTTCGAGTCTGACATGAACATCACTGACGGCATCAGGTTCACCCGAAACTCCAACGACTACGATACTATGTGCCCGCGTCCGAACGTGACCGCCGGAACGTACCGGGAATCCAGAGCTCCCGAAATGGTAAGTAGGTGGTATAACTTGTGAGGAATAACCAGTATAGAGGGAAGCTATAAGGAAGATAATATATATTTGTGAAGTAGAAAAGATATTGGTGCGAGATAGATCGGATGAAAACAAAATAAGGAATAGATAAAAATCGAATGAATATGACCTAGGTAACCAACGGTAATTGATCAATAGGCATGTCCACTTTTGAATATTTTCCGTCGTAGGAACACCGCAATCGTGATAATATGCTAAATAAGAACAGCCGCTAAGCATTATTGGTATTATTATTGCAAACTGTCCCGTGGAATTAAAAAACTCCTATAAACACATATAATGAAATTAATATAATATTATAATAATCGAACATGACCATGACAACCTCAAACTGCGAAGACGTCGTGGTTTCCTACTTATAATTCGAATAGTGGGACACCTACTAGTTTCCGGTTCTATAATATAATACCGTCCGTTGGAAATACCACGAGAGATTTAACCGTATTAATCTAGTGAGTGTTTATGTATATTACTAAAAACCGGTCCGGCATATTTACGCGGATTTGTATGACTGGTTCACAAGTAACCGAATTATTAATAATATTATTTCCGATTTTGAAACGATTTTCTTTGTGCGTTTTCTTCTAGGGGGAAAACGAAGTGGAAGACGGTTGGGAAGAATTCACGGATGAGTTGTACAACAAGGGAACCAAGTACCTGGTAACGCACGACTTCGAAGCCTCAGTGCCCGGTTTCCTGGGAGGTGGCGGAGACCAGGGGGCCAAGGTCCGGCTGTCACCCAAACGGATCTTGCCAGACGGTGGTATTATCTTGCGGATGGATGTACTACCGGCCGTTGAAAGGGATGTCCGATCGCCTAGGTTTATGAAGAAAATGATAAGTAAGTGAAATAACGATTCTGTAACGTACCTATTATTAGATACGAGCAGTATTATATTTACATAGGTTTCAAAATATTTATAATAAAGATAAAAATAACTGTTAGAATAATTATCTAAAATTCTATATAAATATAACAGATAAGTACGTAAAAAGTAAATTATGTAGATAAAGATACATATTCAGAAATGTATTATCTTGATAAAGAAAAAGATAATTTTGTTCATTTTTTATCATAAAACTAAGTGTTAAATGTGTACCAGATTTGGTATCTACACATCTAGATTTCAAAAGATTGTGTGATTAATGACTTAATTTATTAGACTATAAATTAAATATTTAACCTATTATTTTTAACAAATAAAAATGAATTACGATTTTAAAAAGATAAGATACAAAATACAAATATACCTATCTACAGAGAGTTCGACGATAATTTATAATATCTCTGAAGGGAATAAAGGCAATTAAATTCTATTTTCTTTTGGTATATTACTTATAGGGATACGGCCTACAAACGTTTATATTTTAATTAAATTTGTATGTTTCAGTAAAAAAAGGAAAAAATAACATTTTATTTTATTATTGGTGAATGATTTGAAGATAGCTATTTTATAGATATTATTCTAAACATGTCGACGTTTAAACTTATTATTTTCATTAAACTCATAGTTTTTAATAATTTTTAAAGTTTAAAGAAAAAAAGTGTGCCTATACAGTCACATAAAAAAACCCATAAAATACCTATAATAATAATTAATTATAATAATCATTTAGAAAATACGATTGTAGCTTACTGCATAATAACCAATATAACATGATTATTATTGTTATAGCTAATATTTACTGTACACTTTTTTCTCTAAATTTTAAATAATTATCAAAAACCACGAATTTAATAAAAATAAAAAGTTGAAATGCCAAAACATCCAAAAAAATAAATTCTTTATCAAAGTCTATCTTCATATTTTTAAATTAATTTTTTTACCAAAACATAAAAATTGAATTCAGATATAAATATTTGTAGTCCTTATCCCTGAGAGTAATATATATATAAAAATAAATTTGAATATCTTAAAAATTTCAAGAAATATTATTGCAATATCTTCATAGGACACCCCATATATTAAATCCAAAACTTCAACATTTAAAATTCGTAATTTTCGAGTTGAGGTGCCGTATAGATAGCCAACATTTTTATTATCTTAAAAATGTTATATCGTCACCATACTAAGTCGTAGAATGTGATTATTTTGCGTAGTTTTATTTTTTCTTTATATAGAAATTAAAGAAATAAAACAACTTCGCCTATGAATAGTTAATAATAAACTGCCATTTTTTGATTTATGTCAGTAACAAATTTTTCCCTCATATTTTGTTTTTATTGGTCGCAAACATAATAGGTTCGGTTTTGTGACGTATAAAACATTTGGTTTGAAACACAAAACCGAATACGTGTCGGTTTTGTTTATTAAATACCTATATATATTATGTATCTATTTTTAAAGTGCTATAATTTTATTTTCCGGAGTCTGGTTAAGATGTAATCGTGTGATAACCGAGTACCTATTAACATAAAAATCGCAAGACTGATAACATAAATTAAATTATCGAGTATTCAGAGGTTACAGAGGTGTACTATAACTGCATTTACTGTCTCCAGAATCATCCCGAAGATTACTGGAATCAGAGGAAAATTAATTCAGATAATTTCAACATTATATGATGAAAAAAAAACATCACATTATTTGGTCCACTTATAATCTAAACATGTCAGTAGTTTTCAAAACTCAACCAATCAAGGTCATTTAATAATCTGTGTTATATTTTTCATAATTTCTCAGTAATAAGGTACCTCATTTACTAGAAATACAATTTATTCCTACACAAGTTAGGATAATATATAATAATAATTATTATTATAATAATATTAATTTTATTATTAATAACTATAATAATATTCTTGGAAATAGAAACTTGGATATTCGTTCATCATCATGACACTGTGTATTAGGTATCTTACAAATATTAAAATTGTATTAAAAATATCAGTGTTAGTCCATTTATTTTTAATTTTCTATTAGCAACCAAGTGGGGCTTCTAGACATTTTCCTGAAACAGGACTTGAGGAAAATAGCCCCGTTGTCCCCTCTCGAACGACCCTAACTGTCTCGGGTTAATGGACAACATAGTGAAATTACGTTACTCAGAAAAAAAATAATTTTAACTTTTATATTAGAGTTTTAACTAAATTTAAAATAAATAATATTTTGAGGATTCATGCACGTTGCTTTTGTCTATAATATGTTGTCAAACAAACAAAAATTATGGTCATGTTAATTTTTGTTTTTAGATTCTGAGCGTAGAAGAGATGTATTGATTTTACTATAATGTGTGTGTGTGTGTGTGTGTGTGTGTGTGTGTGTGTGTGACTGTGAGCAACGTTTCTACAAGAAATATTGTTCCAATAAAAAATAACAAAATAAATTTTTTGCTGCATTTTGAATGTAGTTGGTGCATTGGCGCATTCTTTAATTTCCCAAGCAATTTTTATTATAATTGGATTAAACCGAAGAAATACGTAAAATGAAAACTAATAAATTTACAGCCTACGATTTAATGATAACAATTTTTTTTTTCGTTGCCTTTTAACTCTTTTGCCAATCAATTATTTTGGATTGAGAAAGTAACAATCCTTTTTATTTAAAATAATACACTTTAAGACGGAAGACCATTTGTCGCTGCACCCGGTGCAGGACACGGTTTTAATTAATATATATATATATTATGAATTATATACCTTATAGTATCGATAATGTAAAAGCAAGATCATTTTTCTCCGGGACTTTTGACAGCGTTCTTACAAAATAATATTAATCGCGGTTACGTTTCAATTAGGTTTTATGATCGGGTGGATCGTAACCTAGATTTAGTGTATAGTGATAATAATATACGATTTAAATTAGGAATGACAAGGAAAACAATTTGATTTACAACCGATAATATATATTATTATATTATTTAGTCGGTTATGTTCCTGGTGATGGTCATTGGTTACTATAATATAAGTTCACGTCTTGTACGTGTCTCGTATTCGTTTTTCACTGCGGCAGTACGGCACGGTCGGCGGTATACCTCCTAAGACATACGCGAGTATACAAACATATATATATATATATATTTTTTTTTTTTTATTCAATACTTAAAATCAGAGTGATAGGAGGTATATGCCTACCTGCCTACACCTATAATAATAATTAGTCATCACGAATTATTTTTTATTTCTTTTCTTTAGACGCGTATAGAAGAGAATATAAAAGAGAAAGCATCGTAATATATATACAAAAAAAAAAAAAACAAAACAAAAAAAATAACCGGTCGTATAATATAATATTATAATGTAGGAGAACCTTGAACTTGATTTGGACAGAATCCAAGTAAGACGAATTCGATTCATGTACGACTACCTAATGTACTAACAGACCTAATGAATTTGAATTTGTTATAATATTATGTGTGTCAATATATCTACTATTTAAAGTATTAAAGTACCATGGTTTGTGATTAAAAAAAATTAGTACGTTAATAACTATAAAGTTTTTTAAATATACATAAGACAAGCATTAATACATCTTTCTCTCCTAGCAACTAGCTGTGTGCGCACGTCTCCAAATTAGTGGTTTAAGGTGCATTGCACACATTTAAAAGTATAAATTGTTAATTTGGATATAAGTCGATTAAACAAATTTAATTTGTTGGAAATCGTTAAAAATAATCGTAAAGACATAAAATGTGTATTAAAAAAGCTGCCTTAGTATAATGAGGCCGAGTGCAGCCACTATTGCAGGTGAGATAAGTTGAGAAGGTAGGATATAAACGGGACTTTAATGTATATTTGTATGTACCAATTAACCATCGCTAATGAAAAACGATTCTGAGTGGAGTTCGATTGATAGTGTTGCTTTGTCAAGAATATATATATATATATATATCATATTATGTATTATAATAAATTAATTAGATATGCGTTCAATATTTTCTTTAATAATATTTGTTTAATATTGTACCTATTTTCTCATATTCTTACTTTTTCCCATTTTTTCGGAAAAATTACCTTTCTAAAATAACTCTCCAGTCAGATTTCTTTTTAGGAAAAGTGAAATATCATTGCATATTGGAGCAAAATTCCTTACTCCACTAGGAATCAAAATCATATTAGTCGTTTCTAGCGAGCAATTTAGCGAGAATTTTCAAAGTTATTTTTCGTTTTACGTTTTTTTTTAAAATCACATGAAAACTTTGATCAAAGATCTTTAATAATATATTTCAAAGGTGTACACTGTTTATTCATGTTTGTGAATACTAATTCGGTTTATGTGGGCAAACATTTTTTGTTATCTTCATGAAATGAACAAAAAAGACAAAAAAGAAACTTAACCTTTATTTGATTGAAAAAACTGGTAAGATTTTCGTTTGAATCGTATACAAATGATTAATTTTTAATACTCCACGTGAATGAAAATAGTTCAATCAACTGATATTGTGCGACAAAATGAACATTTTAACAGTTTTAAAGTAAAAATAAAAAAACGTTAATATTATTGAATAAAATTAATAAACCAAATTTCAGCCGATCAACATTCAGTTTTATAGTTTTGGATCGATATTCCAATGACTTATTATTTTTAATAATATTGTACACGTTTTTATCACTTATCCACAAACAAATCTAACAAATAATACTTTTTATAATAAAAAAATACTAAACTACCTTCATCAATTGTATACGTTTTTCCAAATAACAGAAACCGTTGGTTTTGAGTATAACTTTATATTTTATATTAAACGACCGGTTCATTGTAAACCTACATTAATTCCAAGGCCATAGAGAGTTTCATTTAACCTAGGCCCATATATTATTATATTACATAGTTAAGTATATAGGTATATTCAAAATAATTCGTGAGAAATTAGAAATTGTATAATACATTTTTTAAAAAACCTGTATGGGGACAAAAATCCACCAATAGATGCTTTTTTTAAAATCGTATGTGTATACATTTCTCGGGATAACATAACTGTGTTTTAATGATTATTCAAACTAGCATGTGGGTTATTAGTATTAAAAATAAATATTCTTTAGATTAAAACAAAATGATATAGCTTTCTAGAAAAGTTGTTTTTTACGTAAAAGTAATAATTTAGTTTTTTTAGACCTATAGAATAAATAAATGCATATTTTAGATTTTGAGCGGAGCGAGGAATGTTTTACAATAATGTTTATTTATTTTTTTTTTCTGTGAACTACTTTTCTAATAGAAAATTTGCTTCATTTTTAAATGTAGAACTTTTTCTGAAAAGGAATCTGACAGGAATAGTACTTTAAGGTGATCATTTTTTTGATTTTCCCAGGAGTTTTCATAATAAATAAAAAAAAAAATAGGAAAAATGGGAATATGTACGGAATATATTATTTTAAAATCTTAATTGTTATGGCTTTCCAAAATATGTTTAATCGAAATCCGCTCAGAATTGTTTTTTGTTAACAATGATTAATTGTTGCGTACAAATATACATCTAATTTCCTCTCTTTCTTCTCAACTCTTCAGTTTTCACCAATTATAGTGGTCCACCTTTCGTGTCAAAGTATTTTTTTATCTATTTTTATTTTCTTAAACTATATTTTGTTATAATACCTTTTTACAAAAAAACCTACTCAAATAACATGATCAAAATTGTGTGACATTTGTAAACGTTCGAATTTTAATTGTAGATATTATAATTACATGTTTATACTTGGATTAATTGATTCAAATTGGATATCACCATGTAATTATTTATACATTATGTAGCTAATAAAATAAAACCAAATAATTTCCCGTTGATTTTCATAATATTTTACGCGTATACGGCACGTGCCACGGCTCGGCCTCGAATTGTAATAATATTATTATAGTTCTCGAAATCACGGTTGCCCAATATACAGTAGGGTGATTTTTCTTCGCCAGTATAAACCTGCGATTATCTACGATATTTTTTTTTTTTAAAGAAATTGCTGGTTTTGGATTTATTCAGGCGGCTGACATTATGTGAATTATATTTCCAATATATATTTTTACAATCGTGTACCATAGGTTAATACTAGTTTACATGCAACATTTAATAAGTATGAAGGGTAAAAATGACGTCCTAGGATAATGGGGACGGAGGCAGCCACTGTTAAAAATAATTTAATGTATACCTGTAAGCAAAAATAAAACATTGAACAAAATAACGATTCTGAGCGAAGTTCAGTTGATAATGATGCTTTGATAACAATAAATATGCCATTTTATAGTAGAATAATTAAATAGGCTTTATATATTTTCTTTAATAATATTTGTTTAATGTTATACCGATTTCTCCATTTTTCCTACATATTTTTCAGTTTTCCTACGTTTTATCCCGGTTTTTCATATTTGCTTAGAAAACTCTAAGGAAAATCGAAACATTGATACTAATAAAAATTGGAACAAAAGTGCTGGTAGAAAAGTTGTGCACAGAAAAAAAGAAGGCCGTAATATATTTTAACTAATACCTACATTTCTATTATTTTCTCTTTTTTTTTTTTTTGTTTTTCAAATTTGATGAGAAAAGTCCTGAAAAATCGAAAAATGACCTCCTTAAAGTACCTCCCCACGCCAATTTTCTTTCAGAAAAGGTGCTTTACGTAGAAATCAAAGCAAGTCTTCTGGTAGAAAGGTTACGCACAGATAAAATAAAACAAAAAGAAAAGAAATAAATATCTTTATAAAACTATAAGCTTCTTCACTCCACTTAGAATTTAAAAGTGATCGACATAAAAATTCACCTTTTAGAAATCGTATAGAAGATTTTTCTTTTTCTGAATCTAGGAGTATACCAAAATCTCAAAATCGTTGATTATTGACACATAGAAAGTTCTTTTATATCGATGACGATCTGGAGTTCTGATTGTACGACAAAGACGATGATTTTTCCATGGAAAACGACACGATACCTATCATAATATTAATAATAATATATTTTTGGGTGTGCCAGGGAGAAAAAACAATTGCATTTGCTTTATTTGCACCCGTATAAATATAAAAAAAAATAGAAATAACAATAATAATAATAATACATTGACACCTTTACGATCTACGCGTACCAATATATTATTAATTATATAGGAATAATAATACATCGTATTCATTTAATACATAATTTTGAACCAACAGAGCGTATACACCACTCGTCTTGCCTAACCTTGCTTAACCGTGAATACGTTCGCCGTGGCCGCTTCCGAGTTTCTACATTAGCCTAGTTGTCCGTTTTTACGGACGTAATTAATATTATCGGTGGTAGGTAGACACATGTGTGAGTAGTAGAGTGTAAATAAAAAAGGTTAGAATAAAAAAACACAACACGCCGCCGTCGTTTTGTGTTAATGAATGGCGAAGGAAATAAAATTAACTATAATACACAGATGATTCATAGCGCCCGCGTGATGAAACATCCAAAAATCACCCGTGTATTTAGATATTGATCATTAATGTACAATAACAGTAGCTTAGATTTTAAATTAAGAGGGTAATTTGTTTTTTTTTTTTTTTAATGCATAATAATTGTATAAATATTATTATATGCTTTAAAATGTATATAATTAAAAAAAAGAGCTGAAACTGGAGACAGGTGAAGTCACTGTTGTAGATGAGGATTTTGAAGATAGGATGTATAAAGTTATTTAATTTCTACCTGTACGCAAAAATAAATCGTTGCTAACAAAAAACGATTCGAAGCGAAGTTCGGTACGACATTTTAAAATGTCATAATTTTTACGATTTTCGTTCTTAAATGAACGTTACTTATGAAAAGAATAATCAAATTGATTAAACTTAAATTTGTTTTTTATATCATTAAATACAACTTATAATCTACCATTTCTATCATCTTCAAGCATTTTTCTTAATTCATATAATTTTAATAACAGATACCTACCAAATAAAAATACATAAATTAAACACTAAAATATCAAATACCTAAATAAATAGCCTAAAAATAACTAGAATGTTTTCATGTCTAGTGAAGTGCAATAAAATTATTTTACAATAATTTTTAACCAAATAACAAAAATAAAAACCTAAATGCCGTATAATTTTGCCATATTTTCTAGGTTTTTGCCCTGGTTATTCGTAATTATAAGGAAAACTACACTGAAAATCATACAACGACTTTTTAATCACAAACTAAACAAAATTTCCATTCAATAAAGTTGCTACACTTATCAATTCAGAGCAAATTTTTTGGAAAAATTGCTTGCAGACATAAAAAAAAAAAACGATAAAACGATTCTGAGTAGAGTAGTTAGTCATATTTTTCCCATCCTTACTAAAATTACTCAGAAATCAAAAAAAATTGAACCTTAAAATAAGAAACTAGAGAGTGAACTGCTTAAAATATCGATTATATTACAAAAAAAATACTATTGAGAAGTTCTGAATTTTTTGAGGTCTGGTATGGGTAAATCAGAGTAATTTTACTAACAGAAAAGTTATTTCCAGAAAGAAAAATCCCATCTTTTTATATTGAATAGGTTCTTCGTGATACTCAGAACATAATATTATACTATAGTACCTCATATATCAATGGCAATGAAATGGAACGTAATTTAGGAGACAGAATCGATGACGAACACTTGTATATTCAAATTATACTTAGATACTAATTTCGTGTTGGTTAAATTTTTTTCAGAGCAACTATTCAAAAAAAAACTCATGTCCAGCGGTATGGCTTTGATGTTGATCATCAAACTGATCAAGATAAAATTGATGTTCTTGTTGCCGCTGCTGATCGGAGCGGGCGCGGCCAAAAAGATACTGCTCAAGGTGTTGTTGTTCGTGTTCCCGCCATTAGCTCACCTGTTCAAACTTTGTTCATACTACCATCACCACGCATCTAAGTTCTATCACTATCACCATCATAAGGTATTATAATATACATCAAGTGGTCAGGTTATAGATTATAGGTTAGATATAATATGACGACTGTCACAATAGAATAGTATGATAAAAGTAGCTTTTCATGGGGTCACGGGAGAAGTCAAGAGAAGTCAAACAAATTTAACGGGATGGGTGTCTGTCATCTTAGACATTATATTATTACTGAAGTTCATTAATGATCGGTAAAATGCTTTTTCGTTATTAACCTGACTTAATATATTTGACCTTCGATACTTAACGCTATCGTATTGTCATCTAATTAATAAAACTCTTTTTATATTATAAGAGAAACGTATTTTTAAGTGATGACTTTCCAAAACGCAATACACTCGAAAATAATATGTTAATACGTCGACGATGTCCATCACAAATAAAACGTGACTATACAAATTTGAACCTCAGGTCAGGAAGGGCCAAACTCATTTTTAGTGGAAATGTGATAAAGGCCTAATAGCAATTAACATTTGATGTATACTTTCTTGTGCTTAATTGTATTTCAATTAATAAAATTTCAGGAAATATGTACCAAAAATATGTACATTAAATCAAGAGTGATCAATGTGATTTAAGCATTTAAAAACATTATGTTAAGTGTTTGGTTTTTCTCGACCAGATTTGTAACCAATTACTGATACATATCAGAGAAATTCTAAAATAAAGCCGTTTTCGTACATGCTGCCAATAGTCCGTCATAGGAATTTCCGTAGTGTTTAATTATTATCGAAGGCACAATCATACGTAACGATTCATAACTAATGACATAACTAATTTGTGCTGACAGGTAAAACATCATCACCACCATCTCAAGATCCCCGTACCTGTTCCAATTCCGTCCAGACCACCCCACGAATACTATTCCGCCGGTCCAGCTCTAGATCACCCACCTGGACCCTACGATTCTCCCGCAGAAGTACGTATATTTTTAGCGTTTATCCCGCCATACATCTACCAGGATGTTTATTTTGTTTTACTTGTATTTAAGATATAATAATATTTCGCCAAAAATTCTATATATCTAAAAACAGGGATGGTAAACGTTTTTGCGAACTATGTTTTCTTGCCTACCAGAAATATTGCTTCCAAAGATAAATTACAAGAGATTGATTTTGTTAAATTTAATAACTACCCGCAGATAGAGAGAGTAGTTTTTTAATTTCAAAGCAGTTTTTATATTGTGAAAACCTGAAATAGACGAAAAAAGAACAAATTTACGGCATTACGATTTCATTATATTTTAAAATTTTACGGCTTATGTTTTTCACCCAAAACTATTGCTCTAGTGGAAAAACAACAAAAGATCTTTTTTATAGAATTTTTAGTCTAGTTGGTAACCAAAAAGACGTTTTTATTATCCTTGTAGTTTTTTTAATAATTGAGTAAAAATGAAAAAAATATAGGTATAAAGAACAGAAAAATGTACAGAAATAATGATTTCATTGTTTTTAATTTTGTTTTAATTCAGTTATAAATATTCATTGACTTGAATACTTGAGACTTGAATCATTGACAACAACTTATATTTATATTTTCTAGACGTGGTAAAATTTTCCAAAGATTTGAGCTATTTATCAGTTATTTAACAAATACATTTTAATTTTGCGAGTTTTTACGTAATTTTTATTTGGTAGGTGAAAATATAGTTAGACTAAACAGAAATAATTGAACATTTTTGAAGAGATTCATTATAAGTTGTACTTAGTCATAAAAAAAATGAGTTAAAATCAAATTTTGACGAAAATTGTATGGCATTTCAAAACATATAACCGAACTTCGATCCAAATCATTTTTAATTTCTAATGGTTTATTATCGTTACTTATTACAGCTGTAAATTAAATAACTTTATGTATCTTGCCTTCTCGACTTCCTATATACAACAGAGGCGAACGCGTCTCCAGTATAAGCTATTTTTTTTAAATTATTTTTATTATGGTGTAATTTATTTATTTTTTCGTTTTTGTTTTTGTTATTGGATTTTTTTCTTTTAATATCGTTTTTTAAAAACAATTTTCATCCCTGCTAAAAAAGCTTCGAAATAAAATGTAGACAAAACTTGTTTCACAAATGATGTACATCATCGTCTTCCTGTTTATCTTAATTCTAAGGTAATCTTATCAATCTCACATTTCGTTTTATTCCACTATTACATTTTCTCCTCTTATCTCTTCTCGACGTCATCTCAATCGAATGATCTCTGGGACTATATATCGCTTGTAGATTTATTCTCTTATCCTATCTGGTTACAATACACGTCCACTTAATAACGTTTTTATATCCCTCATGCAAACACTGAGGTTTTATCTCCACTTTAGTTATTTACTTTTTATATGCAAATAGTACTTGAGCAACAGTGATTATTACAACCGAAACGGACCTGACTCTGTGGCTGACCACGGGGACGAGCTGGCCAGCTGGGGACTGAATGAGTACTCAGAAGGCATGCCAGCACCGTACGACCTCAAGTACACTCACAGTTCTTCTCCGGCTCAATACGAAAACAAACCATCATCGTACGGTCCTCCGTCGTCATACGGTTCACCACCGTCTCCATACGTCGAAAAGTACATCAAGAGAGGAGACGAAAATCACGTAAGTACTGCTCGTGTATTTCTTTTTTTGTGGATTTGAACGTTTTCTAAGTTGTAAATGACCTAGGTCCAAAGTGGGTCGTTTGATTGAAAGTCATATAATATGATAAGTAGTCGAGATTAAGTGATCCAAATTTCGTGTTATCTAATGGATTTTTTGGTAAAAAAACCAAACATTATAGTTGCCGATTAATAATATACTATACAGAGTGATTCACTAAGCGTACTTAGCCATATTTTTGGTTAAATTTTGCATGCATTCAAATTCTGATTTTTGGAATTTTTAAGTGTACTCCACTACTCTCCTCTATCTAAACTTAAAAGTGAAATATCTCGTTAACGCGTTGATGGAAATCAAAAATGTTGACATCCACACTTATTTAAAGTAATACTATGTCTATTTGTGGAATTTTTAATATAGGTTGTCATTTAAAAAAACAAATTTGGTATCGCCACCCTTAAGGATACTCCTTAAATGTTGTGAAAAATAAGTATTCAAAAATATCGACTAAAAAATTTAAAAATTTCAGAAATCAGAATATGAATATATATAAAGTTTAACGAAAAATAAGATAAGCACGCTTAGTGAACCGTCTTGTATAACTGTGATGTTTCATAAGCATATCTTAAACTAAACATTTCAGCCACTCGATTATAGTTACCCAAAACATGTTTTGTCGTGATGCGTTATATTTACCTACTCCGAAGTTATGAATAAAATTTACGATAACCGTGGTTTGTGTGTCATATCTTTATACGTATGCTCTAATCATAATATGTACTCGGGCACGTTATAATACTATTATTTTGAATAAACGGTGAAATAATATGATGCAGAAATGAAATCCGGTACCGATTTACGAAAAAAAAAAGTATAAAATTATTTTTTGTCAATATCACCCATAGATTCGGGTCAGATGGCATTGTCCAAATCAATTACGTATTCATCTATGAAATATATGACCACAATGTATTTTCGCGTTTTGCAGCGTTGCCGAGTGGTAGTCTAGAAAGTTTCTGAAACCATATGTGTTTTTCGTCATCTCGGTCTTCGGTCGATAATCCACATTGACCATCTTATTACATCATTACAGGATTTGGATTTATTTTTTTTTTTGCCTTCAAAGTGTCATTTCTACCTTCCCATCTCAGCTTATTTGGGAACTTTCGCTATACAATAGTATATTATATTACTTTCCAAACGTATTATATCCGAAGCACTTTTCCCACGAATTAACGAGTGATAATCATATGTTTAATACAGAAATAGAAAAAATTAGACATTTAAAAAATGTTTATTTAAATTAAATTTTTTCATTTGACAATTATTGTATATGGTTGTTGTTACCCAAAAATGTTTTTCATAGTGATTTTTGATTTAGCTATTGTAACAGACTACCGTGAAATAAATATAAATATAAATTCTTTACGACTACCTTTGTGCCGTTTCTCGTACGTTAATCAATGCTAAATTATGCAATTATTTTTTGGTGGATTTCCGCAGGCTTTGACTAGACAGCCGGCGCCGCCACCGCCTTCATCGCAACTGACAAATCATGATCCAGTATTCACACCCATAGTACAAAGGCTGGACGAGATATTCAACGAGGTGGCCGTTTCTGACGAACCGTGTCGTGAGAAATTGGTGTGCAGGATGTATGGCAACCCAATCAAGTTTAGTCCGCACAGCAACCTGGTATCCGCACAGCTGAGCAGGTAAATATCGTTTGCTCCTGGCCTCCCCCCTACCGTTGAGATTGAGTTTCGAATATTTCACTACCATGGGGTCTCCGGTCGTACTCGCGCGCCTAACTCATATATATATATATATAATATTATTATTATATTTAAACCCGTTCACCTACATCCGAAATATGTTATTTTTTTTTTATTTTTATATCCTGATGACGAAATGGAAATAAAAAAATAACGTCCCGTGTACACATATTATATTAGTATTATTATAACCCACTTATAACCCGTTTTCCGCGCCGACGCCACCCGATGACCTACTTGCAGCTGCCGACCGTGCAGCGTACGCCTTGTAGATGAGGGATAAGCTTCGCCGTCGTCGTGATTTATTAAGGTCACGGCCTTGAACTTGTTACTCGAAAGAAGGTATATCCAGTAGAACGAGTATATACATACATATTGATACAGTCGTACGTGTCAAATCGGTAGAAACTACGTCATATGCGATTGCCAGACCGGAAAACGACATTGTATAATTTGTTGGACATTTATTTGTTAACTATATCATTTACACGCGTGCACTACTACACAGCGTATAATAAAATTATGAAGCATAACTACTGCAGATGGGCGTATAATTGAATTATTCTCAAATTTTGTATTCGTTTTTCTACGTCATAATTAATGACGAATGTGTGGTGAGGGTTTGGTGTTTATACATTTCAAATTAATTTGTACTTAATTTTTTAAAAAAAAATTGATTTACTCTAATACAAATGTAAAACGTGATAGATATATTTTGCAACCACCTCATTCTCCAAAATATTTTTCTGCACTCGCAACCGGCTAATAATATCTAGTTAATAAACATCTGTAAACAACAGAGCACCACTAGAGTCAAATTAACCCCTTTATTTTTAAAACAATAAATCACCAAACAATTTAATTATATAATAATATAGAGATAAATATTACAACTAAGTACTTCAACTACTTCCGAAAAAAAAAAGGTGAAATGTAAAAGTTGAAACCACGAAACAAAATTTATCTCTTACCCTATTTGAGAGGGGGGGGGGGTTCTGGAGAGGTATTCAAAGATAAATAAAACTTACTCTCTCGACAAAATGTTAAAATGCATATTTAAATTCAACATTACCTACTCACTATTTTACTTTAATCTGCCTAAAAAACAACTATGATTCGTAAATTTGAGATCATTTTATCCAGCAGAAGGATTCACTAAATGTGTCCAAAATTACTGGGAAAAAGATTTATCTATCAATTGATGTAAAACGATGTATGGTTGTGGTTGAGTTTAGACTCAAAAACTACACGATTGATTTCAATGACAATTTCGTGGTTTTTTTTTATTAGTAACTTTTAAGAATGTTTGGAGAGTGGTTTAAATGAGAAATCTAACCCCTAAAATTAGGCTCACGCAGTAGATTTTTTCTTAAATATAATTATAAGACTTTTTTTGTTTATTTTTAATATCCATAATCCATTGGTAACACAGGAAAACTACGATGTGTGCTTATTATAATTTTAGATTCTGAGTGGAACGAGAAATTTATTGGTTTTACAATGATGTTTTTGTTTTTTTTTTTTTTCATGTGAATACTTTTTCTACCAGAAAGCATACTCCGATTATCAAGTATAGCACCTTTTCTAAAAAAAGACAAATTGTTTGACAACAAATGTTTCTTTATTTTCGAATCGTATTTTGTTCCGAATTTCATGACTAGTACTTTTTATGAAAGATAATGTTGTTTATTTGATTTATAAAAAAGTATTTTTTCTAATAACTAGGAAAAACAGGAGTTCTCCGACAATAACTCTTCCATTATTTTCGTTTTTGTTTTTATTTTGTTGATACGTGTAACAGACACAATACAGTGCAATACAGTTCCTATGTACTACATTATATAGTGTTTTTCTAAATTTCATGTTACTATGTCCAATTTTCCATTAAATTATTTTCCACTTATTTTTGTTTTTTTAAATAGCAAACAACATTAAAATGTCCATAAATAAATATAGTCTTAACTTAAATAAATTTTGGTGTTGAAATTTAATATTTCTGTTTCCATTGACGAGATATTCCACTTTAAATCTCGGTGGTGGGAGAGTATAATAGAGAATCATTTGGTTGACGACACGGTGCACGGCGTTTTAATAATGCATCACTACTTTCCTCTGACTTAAACTTAAAAGTGGAATATCTATTAAATTAATTCACGGAAATCAGACATTTTAACAACTTCAATTTAAACTATTACTAAACTTTATCTATTTTAGGAATTTTTTAAAATAAGAGTAAAAAATAACATTTTTAAAACTACTTAATTCATAAATGATTTAAAAAACAAATTCCGAAGTTAATACTTTCATAAATAATTAGGGTTTTACGTCACGTTGATCATCATGTATACTAATTTGAAATTCGTAGTAGAGCACTTTTCATTCGCTGCGTACCGGGCCACCACACAAATGATGCTCCATTACTCTCCAAAGTGGAATATCTTGGCAACGGGTTAACTAAAATTAAAAATTTGAACACCAAAATGTTATTAAACTAAAACTAAAACTACATATATTCATACAATTTTTAGTATAGGTTTTATTTGAAAGTCAAAAGGGAGTAGAGGTTTACCGTTTTCCCTCCCAAAAAAGGGTAAAAAATTAAATACAATGAAATATTTTAAAAAAATGATAACAAAAGTTTTTTTTTAAACAATTATTTCATGGTTAACGTAATTGTAACATGACATTTTGAAAACCCATATGTTTTCGGGTTTTAGAGCAAGTTTTTTTATAACCAAGGTTAGATGTATTTACTGGGCTCATCACCGCAGTGATTTATTAGACCGAAACCGTTCGATGACCAGAGTAGAAATTACAGCGACTGTTGCAGCAAAATGCATGTATTTAAATCATTTCGTGAAACTGAATTTGTTTAACGATTAGGGATCAAAAAAGAGTGTGTTCTAAATATTAATTATTATGATGCACGTATATTAAATAACGCTGATTTCGAATAGTAAAAGTTTTTTTTTTTGTTTTTCACTTGCCGTGACATCTTATCGTCGAATCATCATTCCGTATACACCGTACAATAGCTAGAATGGATACTCATGGTACACATTTTTTAATCTTCATATTATCGTAATGTTATAGCGCATATATTGAATAAAAATAAGTCACATGACTTATTGATGTAGAGTAATAATTATAATATTAAAAAGATGCCTTGGATTTTATAGCACAACAAATAACTGAAATATGTGCTATAATAATAGGATCAAAAAAAATTGTCAGTTTTTTTATAGTTTGAGCTCATTTGGTCCAGAAAGAACCACTAAAACTGTCCAATGGCAAATTATATATATTTATAAATATACCATAAATACATACAGGTTGACTCATTAAACATACTTAGTGCTTATCCCATTTTTATGGTTAAATTTTGCATAAATTCAAATTTTGATTTTTGGAATTTTTAAGCGCAGTTAATGCCGATATTTTCGATATTATCATTATATCATTACGACATTAATAAATCAGATTTGACGGTTTTGGATAAAAATTTTACAATTGCACCTTGAAGAGGGAAAGGTTGGTAAAGAGAGTGATTTTAGGCCCAAAATGGGATTCTTGAGATGAGTTCCCGAGAAAGGTTGAAATAATGTCTATATAATGTGAGGAGGATAGATTAATGTTTTGTGACAAGAGATTCCCGGTACGTTATCCCCAACTTTTTTGCGAACAAAGTTACGAGTAATACAGCTAATATTTATAAGTACACACGTATAGTTCACAACAAAAGTACGCCGAGAAACCACATCATACCATATCATATTTAACCATGTCTATACCTATAACTGATATTGTCCAACTAATTACATTTGAAAAAAATCGATAAAACTACTGTTATAACGTTATTATATAAGTATCTATGTAATAGAATATCAAGATGAATAAAACGAATAATTCGCATTTACAACTAAACTAAACTCTGAATGATAATATAGTAAAACCGTTATTCTTAAACGAAAATGTCCTCATAATAATACGACAGTTATAATATTATATTCATAGGTAACAATTTACTTTGAATGCGCAATGATTGCAACTACCTGCAAATTCGTCTCAAAGATCAAATTAGATCAATGTTAGTTAAGAAAAAAAATGTATTATTTTATCAACCATCGGCTCATAGTTGTTATTACGTTATTAATAATAATAACGGTTCAGCAATTTCTATCTAAAGAAGCAATGTATATTATCAATAATGTTAGAATAAAAGAAAGACGAAATAAACAGGTTTTTTGAGTTTTATAAGATGCAAGTCCTTTTCGTTTTATATTATTATACTTTATCGAGATTCGAGTAGACAATCATAAAGACGTTGGGTCTACATAACTTTGAATATTTGTTTGGAAAACGTAAAATATTCAACCGTGTGAACCAAACTTAAATAGTAAGCATAATATAAAAATAATAGGATTTAAAACGTCTAACAAATATGGATTGAATAAATTATAACAGAAAAAAACCGAATAAATTAGTGGGTCATCGGGACAAAGAAAACTAATAAAATTGCTTTCTTATTTTGTGTTGTTAATTTAATGGTGATAAACAAAAATCCTATACTTATATAAATAGTTATATGTGGGTAATTTAATAAACCTGTAATTTTTTACAAACCTCGTAGATCTATTGGTTTTACTGTTATGCGTGCTTTTTTTTTCTACCTTTATTTCTGTAAACAACTTTTTGAAAAGATATCTTACTCCGATGTATAGAGTATAGTACACTATCTGAAAGGAAATTTTGTTTAAATAGTGTATTAGAATAGTGATTTTATTTTCTATGGGGTTTTCGAAATAATTGGGAAAAACCCGAAAGAAAATTATATATAAAACGATAAAAATTTATGGTACGTCGTGGCGTTACCAATTTCATTGATTTTAATTTTGCAACTTACGTTTTCTACCAAAAATATTTAACAAAAAATAATAAGAAATCAATTTTGTTCAGAAATAAAGGAAAATAAATACATTAGATAAAATTAAATAAACAAAAATTGACTTAAACATTTCTTTCCAGAGACGAAAGATAAAACTATTAATAATACGTTGTACCGTTTGTTTTTCACTTCTGCAAATACATTAATACACTTAGTCAATGTAGTAAAAATCTGTATATTATGGTTATATCCCAAAATTCTTTACTTGTTTTTCTATAAATTCATTATATTGTAAACACGTATTTTAGCCTAAATGTCGATTACCGTATAAGTAGAACTCTATTAAACAATTTTTTTTATTAATTTCTATCCATCATGACGGATCTCCTGTCGATTCATACTTCTCACTTACGCATAATCAATCATTTTCGTCTTATTTATTTACATCAATGTTTTAAGTCTCATTTGTGTACATTAATAATTAAAGATACGTGTGATTTTTTAGTCCGTATTAATATACTTATTTATTTCGTCTTTTGACACCGTGCAAATGCAATTTAGTTATTCTAAAATATCGATATTCAGACGTATAGTATCTTCCTACCATTTGTTTGAATTTATCACTCAACGATATAGCTGAATATTAATTAAATTTAGTTGGATCGTGGTGATTATTATATGAAACTCGATGATGTTATTCAAGTTTACACAAGTGAGACAATACCTAATATTTGTTTTTCTATTCGCCTTAAACATGTATTTGATGGACATATTTATAATTTATTTTTTTTTCGTTTAATTTCATATCCCGTGAGTATACCTACGCGATTTCGTTCGGTCACATGCTGTACAAAGGATATATAATAATATTATAATTTAGCCCAATAATAATCCTAAAATAATATCGCCATAGGTCACTTTCTTTAACACAATAACGTACTAATGACCTACACGGCATCAATAATATACGAGTATAATTAAAAAAAACAATGTCTTTAGCACGTTAATATAGTATGCTTTCATTTAGATTCCGCCCACAGGAAGAATTTTTTCGACAGCACCACCGCCATCGATACAATAATTTCATTATTATTATTACATTTTTTTTTTTTTCACTATGATTCATAAATATAATAATAATAATAATAATAATAGATCGCTTCTGCTCCGAGTCATCATTGTAACGAATGTGTTGTTATTGCTGCTTCTACTACTACTGCTCTGCAACTGTAAGTACGTGCTTCCATTGTCGTAGCATACTGACACGGATTCGATATTATGACGATTCGTTGACACACACACACATTTGGAAAATACTCACACAACCGGTTTGTCATAGACGCAAAACTAAAAAATAGCTAACGAATTTCCCCTCGCGCGCACAGGAATGGACGTTCGCGACCATCTTCAAATGTAATTTCTCCGATAAAAGTGAACTATAACTAGAAAAAAAATTAGAACGAAAAATGATTATTATTAATATTAATAATTATTATCGGTGGGGACCGGTATAAACACAGTAGAAGCATCACAAAAACGTCCGCCTATTTACTAAACGCCCTATAAGGAAACTGATTTTTTTGTTTTTTAATGCCCCTTTAGAGCATCGATAATTTGCACGTGGTTACTTAAATAATAATATGCTGACTTATCAGATAAATATGCAATTATAAATATTGCTCAGAAAATAGCTTTGACGTAGTAAACAATACTATTAATTATAATAATAATTTATAGTACACATATGGATGTTAATATTGCAATAATTATTAGAGCATTCTCGTTAAAAATACTTTTCAAATATATTCAGAATACGTTTTTGAATACTTATGTAAATATTATATAAATAATTTCTTTTGAAAGCATCTAAATATAAATACAAATACTTTAAAAATAAATATTATTAATACTTCATAAATATATTTTTTCTCTTGTATATTTGATATGCTTTGTGATTTCCAAGAATTTCAGATGCTGCATAATACTATATTATTTATGTATATTAGTAAATGAACTTAAGCTAAACAGATTAAATTATTATAATTAGTTATTGAGTTATAACAATACAGTTTACAATAATTCGTAGAACTATTCTAAACAATTAACATTTAAAATAGTAAAATAAGGTTATATTGTCTTATCACGTTTACATGAATAAAAGTATTTTTAAAATATTGAAAATACATTCTTCCAAAAATATTTAAATATAATTATTGGAATATTTAATTAGACTATATTAGAGTATAGTTATTACAGAAAGTTTTCGCGTTCCTAAACCATTTATAAAAATAGTTTTTAAAAGTACTTTTTGAAAAAATATCAATTCCTTCTATCACGCATATTTTCCGGTTTAATATAATACAATTTTACAATTACGTTTTATGTGTTTTTCTTCGTCTTTTTAACACAAATATAAAAAATATTTTATGATCGAATTGGTATTCAGGGGCCGGACATTTTTGTCCCTCCGCAAAAAATAGTTCAATATCTATTTTATAATTAATATATTTTTTTTTTTATTAGTATATCGATAGGGGAGTGTGGATAGTGGGGGATATGCAAAGGTCAGTGTTGACGAAAATATTTTTGAATGATTATTTTTATAGTTAAATTTAGAATAAAAAAATAAAGAAAATTGTTATTGGCGTTATACTGTTATTTCGCCAAAAATGTAAATTTAACAAACATATGTATTGTAGATATGACCCACTTTTCGTATGACTTGTATTTTATTCCCGAATATTTTTTCAATTTGGTTGTCGGCAAATTATTTTATTATTATTTTTATTATATCCCTCCGTCAAATTCTGATAGAACTGCACCTATTCTCAGACTAGTGTACCGTTAAGTGGATAGAAACAGCACCAATTTTAATATTATTAAAGTGAATTGAATAAGTCAAGAGTAGGTAATGATTATTATTTGTGTTTGTATGTCGGTTTTTATTTGATGTTTGAATTTTTACCCGAGATATGATAATAATATGTGAAACATCGTTATTTTAAAAGCCTATATACTCGTTTAGAAATTGAAATATTAAAACAATTGATGTACAAGCACAGATCATGTTCTTAACTTTTGACTGCTTGATTTTAAAATTGAATTTGCTATAATATTAAAAAAGTGCAGTGGTTAATTGGTTCTGCTTAGTCCAAAATGTGTTATGGCGTGCGTTTGTATAAGACGGAGGCAACAGAAAAATGCATGTGTTCTCTGCTTAAATAAACATGGTTCATCAAAAAGAGTTTATTATGGACCTAATTTAACGAATGCCAGTAATGTTTAGGATTCTACGCCGTACAATAGATTCGTTTGGAATTAGAAAAGAAAACCCTAATGACGGTGTACTTACATACGTTAGGTTGTTGCAAAAGTCTTTGACGGACCGCTTTGGTAGCCATTGTAGATATTATAATATATTTGTAAGCTATTACTGTACTTTTATAGTTGTACAAGTAGAGTGTGTGATCTATCTTGATTACACCCGTGTAATCGATTCTACGTGCAATAACGCGTATAGATAATTATTAACACTAAAAAAAAAAAAAAAAAAAAATGTAAAGAGAAGTCTATTTTTTTCATCTACCGTAGTCCTTATATTCGAATTCGTAACTATACGCCTGTGTGTAAGTCTAAAGTACCTATACACAATACACAAAGATTTTTTTTATATAACGGAGTAGGTATTTCCGGTACTCACGGTCTATAGGTCGTGTATTTACACGATAAATTAGTTGGTATTGCGGACAATAGCCATTTTTTTTTTTTTTTTATATAGAAATGATTAACCATTTTCTGACTTGTGTATAAGATCACAGGTCACTCGGTCCTTATATATAAAAATAATTAAGTATATTTAGTCACCTACTGTAAATATAAATAAAATATTCACACCCATACGAACCGACGACGATTGTTTCACTCGATGGGCCACGATCGAAAATGTGAGATCGAATTTTGACCTCTGCTGAGATTGTATTATTTGTTTATATTAGTAAATGTACTCTCGACAATTCATAATGTTTAAATAATTAGCGGACGTCACAAACGGATGATATCCATTTTTTAAATGAAAATTTCAAATTTCAATCATCATCACCTACTTAACCCATAATATTATCTCTCTCGAATATCCTTGGCGAACTGATCGCTACAAAAAATTATACAATCATTTTCTTCTTCGTATCATCATAATATTATACTCTTCAAGGGTTATTGCTACCACCGACCATCTTACAAAATATTTTTCACGCTTCATTAAATGTCCATTCCCATCTAGAAGTGGATTAATTCAAAGTGCTATACTGTAGTTCTACAACATTGTGAGCTCTATAGGGGGAACCAAAACGATGACCTATTAATAATAATTATAATAATGGTTTTTTGTAACCAAAAATAACATGAGCTTATCATAACATAACAATAAAAAATATCATAAGAATCATGGTTACACATCACCTATAAGCATTACTTGAAATAGTGATGTTAAGTTCATATACATAATAATGGAATAAATATGATAAATGTCAATAAATATCAAAAATGTCAACAATAACGTTTATTTTAACTAATACACCATCTATTTATGGATTTTTTAATACAGGTTGTCATTTGAAAATCAAAAATAGGGTAGTGGTTTTACCCCTAAAAATAAGGATTACAAATATAACATAAATATAAAATTGTAGAGCTACTTGCTTCTCAAAATGTTTTAGAAAACAATTCCAAAAAAGTCAATACATTCCGAGATAATGAGTGTACCCATTTAAACTGATCATCCTGTTTTGTTGAAAAAGCATCACTATTAATTAAACTCTGCTCAGAATCGTTTTTTCGTTAGCAACGATTAATTGTTACTAACAGATATACATTAAATTACTTGTAATAGTGGTTGCACCCTTCTCTATTATCCTAGGACGTCTTTTCACTATTGCAAGTTGATGAATTCATTTACTGTTCTGACTTGATCACGATATTTAGCGAGACACCTGCTTGAGAAGCGGTACTGTCTCGGCTAAATCGGGACGTCTGTTCACACTATGAAAACGCATACTATTTATAACCAGTTATATTAAATCTATTACTTATTTCGTATTACAAAACACATATATTTAATCTCATTCAAATTTAACTGCAGTCAATTATTTTCAAATCATGATTTAATATTATTTATCACCAAATTTGCTGTAGAACACAATTCACTATTAGGGCTTGTTTATAATTCTTGATGTTTATTTTACTTTTAAACGTTTGAGAAAATGTACAGCAGAACAAAATATTATTTCTGCCTATGTCAACATAAGTAAATTTAAAAAAAAAAATAGACAAACACGGGCATTTTAAGGTTCCTATTTATAATTTATACATATGTATACACTATACAGTGTATCCCGTCTTATATGTACAATTAAATATTTCAGCCTAATGACTTTAAATTGAAATGAGATTTTCAGGAGATGATGCCATGATGGGGAGTAACAAAGTACGCTCTAAGATAATTTTAAGTTTTTTTAACCCTTTAAGTGTGCACATGTAAAATTTAAATTAATTTTTTTGAATAGAAATCCTCATTTTTTTCTAAGTAATTTTGATCTATTGATCGTGGACTTAAACCTAACATTGACCGAGTTATAGCTTTTTGAAATTTGAAAACAACACACTTACATTGAGTTATATTTGTATTATGAAATAAAATAATAATGACTTGGTAACATATTTTTGTTTATACTACATTTTTTTTTATCTTTTATAATGTTCAAGATTTCTCCCATTTCTACCCACGCTTTCCAGTCGAAAAAATTCAATTATTTTTAAATTTAGTTTCAAAAAGCTGTACCTCAGTCAATCTTAAGTTAAGGTTCATGACATGTAAAATTGACTATATTGTGGTCCATGGTCAATGAATCAAAATTACTTTTTGGACAAATTATTAAATTTTGAAGTGTACTATAGTAGACCGGATACTTTTCAATCCGCATCTGGCCCCACAATGGTAAAAACTCAATAGTAAACCAAGATAAACGCGCGATTCCATCCTTTTTAAAATTTTACTTTTTTTTTCATTTCAAATTTATTGTTATATTTTTTACTCCGAAAATAGTCAAACAGCTGCCAACTCGGGTGCTAGGACGACGATCAGCGCGGACGCGGCCAGACTTTGGCGATACGTACAGGCAGCCAAAGAAGGCCAGAATGGTGAGGATTGCCGGTCTTTGTTTCCGAACTGCCATACGGTCGGACTTTAATCGAGACTTGAGTGCGAGCCAGACGAGGAAACATGGACGACAATGATTAATCAAAAACGAAAACGGACCCGACAACGAACTCGATAAAAATTGTAAATTATCATAACGGTGTTGTCGTGTTTCATGTGTATACATATTGTACCTAAATTACATACACACCATAACTACTCAGCTAGTACCCGTTTTTTAAAATCAATAATCGATAGTATCATAATATTATAGTATATAGTTTTTTAGTAATGTATACCTACGAGAAAAAGGGCTGCATCCGAATTGCGTGGCGAAAAAATCAAAAAAATTGTTTTTGAATCGCAGTGCAAATATGTGCTCAAAAAAGATCTGTTTAAATCGCATCATTATTTTTTTTTCTTTAAATTTTTCATTCCAAATAATATCAAATTTATTTAAAATTTCATGAAATTCAAACCTATACTTTTTAGAAAAAATTAAACATAGTTTTTCACACCACCTCAAAAAATACAAAACTACGAACCATTAGAGAATGTGTCCCATTGTCTCTCTTGACTTTTACTTACTTATGTATGCCATATTATGTTTAACAAAATGTCAATATCATTGAAAAATACATTTCGGTTTATTTGGTCTCGATAAGTCTATTCCGTCACACAACAAATCATCCAACTATTTATAATATTTTTATCGCTAAAATTGTCCGATTTGGGCCACTTCTCCTTTGACCTAAAGCTTTAATATCATTTTTACAGTATTAAGCTAGTCCAATTATGTGATTAAAAATCGTAATGACTCCGATTTGGACAGATCAATTTTCGTTTCGATTTTTTTTTTTTTGTCATGCAATTGGGATCGACCAATAAAAAATAAACCTAATAAATATATCGTTTCATTTATCTTATATTGCTTTGAAACGAAATTTAATAAAATACAAGTCGGACTTAATATTCAACTAACACAAACACACACACATACACACACTACACACATATCTAGTCACACACAAACACACACACACAAACATAATCATTATTCGTAGATATAGAGCAGCGGTCATAGATATACCTTCCTAACCGGAAAACAGAGATATGCATAATATTATAAAAATTTAATATATCTATCGGAGCGAGTAGTTAATTTTTGTATAGTTAATACAATAAATATTAATAATATATTTCACATCTGCAAGGTAAAAAATCTGGATTTATATTCTGTAGGATTAAGATCAGAATTAAAAAGTCGATTCTTAGCCTAGTAAACATTTTAGGTTATGTATTTTTTCTAAAAGTTATAAAACATTCGAGTAGGTAGGTACCGTGAAAATCTTACTTATTATAACAAAAATAATTTATCCTTTATATTAATCCAGATTAACTCCATCTGATTAGCAATATACAACGTATAGATAGTAAAAATATTAATAATAATAACACAATTATATAGAAAATTTGATTGAATAAACTGTTCAAAAACGTTTTTTTTTTTTTTTGATATAATGTTATTTTTACAAGGTGATTCACATATATTTTGTAGTTTTCGATTTAAATTTTCTATTCGCTATATGTTCATATTATATTTTAGATGTTATTACAATATGTATAATGTTTCGTTGTATTCATATCACATGAGTACTTACTGCTAATACTTACATGAGGCATACATGCCTAATGTGATTTTATACTGGTAAATCTCTGCACGCTGCTCTTTACTCTCACAATGACTCGTCTATAATAATCTTATGTTATATAAACGAGTCACATATTAATATAATAATTTTACATGTCTCGTGATTTTATTCGTAATATTTTTATCATGTAATTACTCTCGTATTTTCTCATTTTTATTTTCATTATTTCTATTTATTTATTTATCTATATATTTATTTACTTTTTTTGTAATAAACACATTATACACATGTATAATTAGGTAGGTACTAAAGTACTATATTGAACCGCAGTTAAACTATAGTTATAGCCTTACGACATTTTCTGTAATAAAAAAAACTATTAATTATAATTTTTTCATTATAATTATTATTATTATTGTACTCAATGTGCCCATATATACATTTTTTTTTTTTTTAATAAATATTATAATATTTATTTATAAAAAAAGATATATTGTGATAGTTTAGATCGCATACATATTTTGAATACCTATATTATATTAATAAATGATAAAATAATAGAATATTGTACATTTCACTCATTTATACTTAGATACACAGAAAATCAGATATATTTTAGTAATTTAGTGATTATTTTAGATAATAATCTCATAATATGAGTTATAACTTATATTATATAAATATATGTATCATTAATAAATATATTATTATATTTAAAAAAATGTACCTCCAACCTTATTTTATAATTTCAATTATCAACACAATGTTTGTTTAAATTGTTTAAAAACTAACGACACAAACATTTTTCTTTCCTATCGTTTTAAAAATTGAATCTAATTTTTAATCGTAAAATAAAGCAACTCTTTAGGTACTAAATATAATGTATACTAAAAGCAATTAATTTTCCCATTGAGTTATTATAAGATAAAATTAAAAACCTATAGTTAAATATTCTTTTAAAAATCGATTTTAACATATTATTATTACGTTAGGTTATTTATTAGGCTAATTTATAAATCAATAATAAATTGTGTATTATTGTCATTCAGTAGCAAAATAATAAATGATGTAGTACAAAATGTATATTATATATTATATTTATTTTTGTTATAAATTATAATATCATTTTTAAACGGTTCATTTTTATTATTAAAACTGCAGGGCATGTTCTATCAAAATTTAGTAACCTCCTAGTAACAGTTACTTACATTAGTTTTAGATTCAGAGCGTAGTGAGTGATCTATTTTTTTTACTGTATGTATTTTTTTTTTAGATTCGGATAATAGCGAGAAACTTTTCGAAAAGAAATCTTGCTTTAATGTTGAGTGTAGTACTTTTTCCTAAAGAAAATATTTAGATAAAATGTAGGCAACTAACTAGACGTTAGTGTATTAGAGAAGTCATTTTTTGATTTTTCAAAACAATAGGGAAAAATTCGAAAGAAAATTATAGGTAAAACAGCAAACCGATCTTATTGTTTAAAATGCTTTTAACTTATATTTTCTGCCAGAAATATTGCTCTAATCTAAAAATGAGAAGAGATCGATTATAATCCATTTAATAATTTAAGTACGGAACAGAAAATAGCCATGTTTTGATATCTAAATAAGTTTTCATAATAATTTTATTATTTAAAACTTTTATAATTAAATTAATTTACCAGAAATCTCTCTACTAAATTTCAAGAATAGCATATTTTTTAAAAGAAAAATAATGTTTTAATTATTTGTAATTCTTTTTTTTTTCTTTTATTTGTTGTATGTCAGTTTAGAAAATTCGTAAAGACTTGAAATTTGGACAGTATTTGCTTTTTATAGACATAATTAAATTTTCAAAACGTTTGATTCATTTTCGAGCTATTTTTAGAAATTTTTTTTCGGTAGGTACTCTATGGGTAAAGTTGTTAGACCAAACAAAAATGTTTGAAATTGTAACAGGAGGTTCATACATAGGAAGTACTAAGTGTTAAAAAAATAATTTATTACCATGTAGTATTTACATTTACGTACAAATATAAATTAAATAACTATGTATTCTACCTCCTCAACCTCCAACCTACAACAGTAGCATAATCAGTACTTTTTATTTGGTATGCAATGATTTATTGTTATATTTAATAAATATAACTAAATTACTCTATGTATGTTAAATTTTTTCTTTATTTTTAATAACTTCGTAGTTGATTTTAATTATAAAAAAAAAAAAAAATGAAAAACGATTATTGTAAATATTATTTTCATAATTTACTCATATATAATAAGACATAGTATAGCTGGCCCAGACTTCAATAAAAACCACGGTTTAAAGTATTATGACAACCTATACAGTCATGATTAATTAATTTGTACTTATATTTTTTCTTTCGAGCATATAATCGAAAATGGTAGTAAATAATAATTTTATTAGTATTCGTTTGAATCATTTTATTTTACACTATTTTTAATTTTTACCCTTTCTCCATATCTTAAATTATTAGGTATACTTATTAATTTTCAAATAAGAAACTCTTCTTATTATTATTTTCCTTTGCTTCCATTTCAACTATTTTAGCCATCCCTGTCATTCATTTCCACTTAACCCATTCTTCTACATCGTCGCCGCATATGACCTTCGTCCTCGTATCATTCTTAAACCAACCACCCTTTTTCGATCTTCATCTCCCACCCTTTCCTCCTAAGTTTATTTTCATTGCGATTCATACTGTTTCTAATTTCTGTCTTTTCATGATATGCCTAAACTATATCAGTCTATTTTTTTCTTTTATCGAAGCTGTCTAAAATATCTCATATGTACTCTATCATAATACTCATATAGGTATCAAAATACAATAATACAGTAGTGCAAAAGTGCAGTATATTTTGTGTTTGATGAATCTCTAAATAATAAAATAATTAAGCTACTGAACCCAATAAGACATAATTAAAAGATGTAATGAAGAAAGACAATTAGGCTACAGACAACAATAGCCATTAAGAAATGTGGCAAATAATGGCATCGAGGACAGTTCATTAGGACTAGTTTTCTAGTGATTATTGGTAATTGTGTAATCACGGCTGATATCATTCTGGAAGTTGATAGTCATTTTTCTTTATAACCTAACCTAACCGTATTTAATAAATATTCGTAAAAAAAGTGTGTTCTTATTTTTTTTATTTAGATAAATACATTATTTCTCCTCTACAATATCGGAACTTTGTGTTTTTGACTTTAATACATTGCAAAGAATATACGAATCCTTGTTCGCGATAGGTAAGCAAATTGCATTATTAACAAAATCAATTCTTACATTGGAAGCGCTCATTATTTAAGGGAACATTTGTACTCCTTAGAAGTGTATATCGGTTGGTTATTTAAACTACTTTGATAAAAGTTTCGAATTATACTTAGAATTTGTTCATGGTTATTAGTTTTCCAATTATTTAGCATGTCAGATTTATCTAAATGACAAATAGTTCAATATCATTGTTTCAAAATTCTGAATAAACAAGTAATAAAGTAAGTATATTAGTAAGTAAATTAAGTAATAAATAATATATTATCCTATCTTCTCTCATATCATTCACTCATCCACGATCTACCTAAGAATTCTCATATCTTCTATATTCATTCTCTGTTTAATATTTTTTTTGTCTACCACCTAACACTCCAAACCATACAACATAGTCAATATCACAACAATATTGTATAAATTACCTCTAAGTCTCATTAGAATCTTCTTCTCATAACTTTATCCAACCATATTTAATTCTATGTTTTACATTATCGGCAAAGCTACCGGTTTTTTATACAAAAGATACTATAGTTATTTAAAACTTTCAACCTCGCTTATTACGTCACCGCATATTGCCATTATGTGTCCTGTCCTGTCAATCTCTTACTCCAAACTCATACTCTATATATTCTAACTTTCAAATAGGACCCCATCCCATTATAAACATGGATTTAAATAGAGAATTTTTTTTCTGTAAATTTTGATAAGAATAAGCCATTAAGAATCCACCGTAAAAATTGCTAATTCATGATAAAAGGATCGCCCTGTATAGTACGTGTAGCAAGACGTGGAGCTATGCACGATGATGATTAAAGCAATAAAACACAATAATGATATTTTCCGTGGTAGAAAACTAAAAACGTACGTCGACTCAGATGAGGCCACAGACTGACTAGGCTGGACCACATGAGCGATTACTAAAATACAAGTGATAAGGACAACAATAATTATGATATTGGTTCATAGGTACTTATACAATTTTCCTTTGGTATTTTATAGGTAGGTACTATTAAAATGCGTGCAGTATTACACCGACAATAAAGCATAATAATATATTATTTTTAAAACAATTAATAAGAATCATGTTATTTATTGATTTCCCCACAGAAAATAGTTTAAAAATTGCGTGATCGTAACTGGATTTTATTGGAATCTCTCAATCGTAAAATAACTTCATCCTTCACACTTATTATAAATACAAAGTAGGTAAATTAAATGCAATGTAATATTATGGTTTCAAAATAATTAAATCGTAATATCATAATCAAAAATTAGAAAAATATTCGTCCAAACTACCACATACTGTAATGAATTAAATTGAATGAACTGAATTCAATTCTTGAATGAAAAGTACACTATTGGAATGAGGTAGTAATGAATATAGAATAGAATAGTCTCAAGTTCTCAATGAAAAAAAAAATAAAATCTTTTACAACTAGAAACTGCTAAAGTCATACTCAACGAATCGACTATAATAATTCTCTCATTGAATAAGCTGTCAAGTTCGATAACGCTATCAAGAACGACTGAAAAAAAACATTTAATATGCTTGTGAAACTTGGTTTACGACTCAAATAAATGATGAGAAACTATACTAGTATTGAAAAAGAAGGCCACGAGAAAAATATATAGACCTGTCGGAAATGAAACTTACTATAGGTATTTGATACATAAAACATAAAGCATAGATTTGAATGCATAATTTATTAACAATATAAATAAAGGTGTAAATACATAAAATATAATAAAACACTATAATTATTAAATAGTGTTTCTTAAATTATAAGTTGCTAGTGTAAACCGATCTTGAGTCGAAGAAAGTATATTATACTTCAAAATGTACCAGTCAACAAACCGACCGGTAAACGCACCGGGGAAAGTTTCCGAAAACGGTAATTAGATCGACTAAAGACAAGACGGAAAAACTGGATGACGTAATGATACGTGGCAGATGTAAGGGACTATTAAGGGTGGCGAAGGACCTCAAAGGCCTATAAACATAGTTGATATAACCACAATCTTGCAGAATTCACTTTTGTCTCATTGGAATCCTCATCACACCACTTTATCTAACCACATCAATAAAGCTTATAAAGCTAAATTATAATAATAATAATAAAAACACCCGTGAACCGCAAAGGTTCCATCACTATAGTCATATTAATATACGATGTAAACATCATATCAAACACTCATGAGTCTTCAATAATGTTCTACGAAAACTGAAAAAGGAAATATAATCAACATTAATGTTTAAGAAATTGCATATCCAGTTCCGTTGGATATGTTTTTCATTTTTACATTATTATTCTGCATAATTCGAACAATTATAATATCGGAACAATATATTATACTATTTTTTCAAAACGATCATCATTCATATCTTAATCGCAAAAAATAACAATATTTAATCAGATAAACAATTAATGTTCGTGTTAATAATAATTAATATAAAGAAAAAAAACATTTTCATAATTTCATTGTTTTTAATTTGTACGGTTGCACTATCTTTTCTACCAGAAATATTGTTTCAATCAAAAAACGACATGAGGCTATTTTTGTTGTATTTATAATGTAATTAGTGAATGAAAAAAGTTCTCTTTTGATTTTCCGTGTAGCTTTCTTAATAATAGAGTAAAACCGATAAAGAAAAACAGTTAGAACCGTAAAGCTTAAAGGAAATCGTTTTGGAGAGGTACTTTAGGAAGGTCATTTTTTGATTTTCTAACGAGTTTCCTCATCAAATTCAAATAACCCGAAAAAAAACATGAATATGTATGAAACTTGAATATTACGATTTTTTAGTTTTGTGTATAACTTTTCTACCTGTAAATTTGCTCCGCCTTATAATGATAGCAATGTTTGTAACAGGAAATTTCACTAGGAAGGCATATTAGAGAGGACATTTTTCGATTTTCTCAGGAATTTTATCATCAAATTTTAAAAACCGAAAAAAAACGGGAAAATATAAGAAATGTAGGTATTAGTTAAAATATATTGCGCTCTTCTTTTTTTCTGTGAATAACTTTTCTACCAACAATTTTGCTTCAATTTATAACGATATCAGTTTTTCAGATAGGTAATTTGACTGAGAAGATACTTTAGGGAGGTCATATTTCGATTTCCCTAAAAGTTTTCCCAGTGAATATGATAAACCGAGAAAAACAAAGAAAAACTGAGAAAATCGGTACAACATTGAAAAATATTATTAAAGAAAATATATAAAGTCTATTTAGTTATTTTACTATAAAATGACTTACATATTGTTGACAAAGCATCACTATAAACTGAATTCCGCTCAGAATCGTTTTTTTTTTTTTTTGTAAGCAATAATAGCCTTATTCCAATTTAAAAATGACAAGAGATCGATTTTGTTACTTTTAATATTTTGACAATGACGGGAATAGTCGTTTTTTTATATCTAAAGTATCTTTCATAATAATTGGGAAAAACTAAAACAAAAACGAAACATACGATTTTTTTTAAATTAGTGATTACATTGTTTTAAATTTGTAGGGCTTATGTTTCCTACAAACAATATTGATTGAAAATATAGAAAAACGCCTTTTTTTGTTTCATTTTTAATCTAGTTGGTGATCATGGAATTTTTTTTTGATTTTATTTATAGTTTTTTAATAATTGGGCAAAAATAATAAATAAGTAGAAATAATTTAAAAAAAAAGAACGGACATAATTTGCACGTGGGTACAGCAGGTGCAGCCACTGTTGTGGGTGGGAAGTTAGGAAGATAAGATATAGACGAGAATTTAAAATATATCTGTAAGGAATGATAAACCATCGCTAACGAAAAAACGATTTTAAGCGGAGTAAAGTTGATAGTGCTGCTTTGTCAAAAATACATTATATGGTATATACCATATTATAGTAAAATGATAACGACAATCAGAAAATATGCTATAATTGATAACCGGAGAATGATTTTTGGTAGAAAAAGTGTTCACATAAAAAAATAAATTAATAATCATCATCATTGTAAAACCTCACTCCACTCAAAATCTAGAATAAGGACAATTTACGAAAATAATTTTCAAATTGTTCATAGAAACTTGACATTTTAACAGAAAACTTATATTTATTTTTTCAAACTTTGTAAAATGTTCAAAATATTTATTCTATTTTTGAGCTATTTATAGACATTTACATTTTGCGAGTTCTTTAAGTAATATTTATATGGCAGGTACTGTTTGAATACAATTAATAGACTAAACACAAATGCGTAAAAATTTGACAAGAGGTTCATTATAGACCTTTTTTATTGAATTTTTAATTTAGTTGGTTAGTATAAAAGTCGTTTTTAGATTTTCTTTGTAGTTTTATTAATAATTAGGAAAAACCGGGAAAAAAAAGAAAAACGGAATAATTTACGAAAATAATTATTTTATTTTTTTAAATTTAATTTAGTTTAAATTATTCGTAGAAACTTAAAATTTTAACAGAAAAATTATATTTTACTTTTTCTAGACGTTGTAAAATGTTCTAATTATAAAAATTCTAAAAATCTATTTTTGAACTATTTAGATATTTTAATTTTAATTGGCAGACTAAACATAAATGCTTAATAATATGACAGGTTTATTATAAGTTTTACTTAGTGGTTAAAAAAAAAAAAAATTGATATTAATGTATAATTTATTTATTTTTTTTTTGTTCTATAATAGTTTTAAAATTAAATTTTTACGAAAATCGTAAATATTGCGGCCTTTCAAAACATGTCTAACCAAACCTCGCTCCGAATCGTTTTTCGTTTGCTATGGTTTATCGTCATTATGGGTATAAATTAATTATTTTTATGTTATCCACTTTCCCAACTACCCACTTACAACAATAGTCGAACCCGTTTCAATATCAGTTCTTCTTTAAATTTACTTTATAAAAACTTACTAGTTTTAGATTATGAAGAGGTATAATTAAAGAAGAAGCTATAATAGTTTTTAGAAAGATGTGTTTAAATTTTGGAAAGTACTATTACGATTAGCTTATTTTTTTCCATGTACTAAACTTTCAAAGATGTGAATTTTTTAGTTGACATTTTTGGTAAAAATTATTTTTACTCTTTCGAAAAATTAAAAAAAAAAAAAAAACTAATAGTATATTTTTGTTAATTTTTGTTGACAAGGAGGAAGCTGAAAAATATTCTAACCTTGCCAGTAACCGACTTCCGCTTAGAATCGCTTTTGTTTTAAATCTTATCAAATGTATGGTTTTTCTCTTTAAATGAACCGTATTAATTGGTAATTTTAAATCCCACACACAGGCATATTTTTTCAAACGTTATTATATTCATCCGGCCACCTACTTTCTAATATTTTAACTGGGAGTAATACTAAATATATTTGTCAAAAAAAAAAAAAAACTTAATTATATTTATATTTTATCATAGTTTTTTGACCTTTGCAACTTGAAATAATAAATCAGTAAAACTGAAAATGTACAGAATACCAAATTGTGTTTGTTTTATCTTTTGTTGTAATTCTATTGAAAGTAATCGTAAAGACTTGAAATTAACAACCGATACGCTTATACTAGCCTTTTCTAAACGCAGTATGGTTTTAAAAATATAATCTGTCATTTTTTGATTTATTGATGGCCATTTTAAATTGTTTTATTTGTTTAAGTTGTTATGATTTGGTTTTATGACGACAAAATTGTAATAGATTAGCAAACTTATTATAAGTTGTACAATATACATGGTTGATAAGAAAAAAAAACAAAGAAATTTAGAACGAAATGTAATTTTATTTTATAATTTTTTTTTTTTTGGAGGTCGCAGCAGCTTTTTTTGGGAGACGATAAATGTGCGTTCGTATAGGTATTTATCGAACGGAAGGCGTTCATAAACGACAACCAAACACAAAAACGGATCGGGCACGTGATTTGGATAAAATTGCTTTGAAGAAAGCGTGCATAGAAAGGTGTCGAACGGTGTCCGCCCGCGATTAGGCATTCAACCGGCGATCCACCGGTCTGCCACCCGACCGTACTTAAGGTCGGCCGCACACCGGCACATTGTTCATTCTCGTCCTGCACTATTGTCCTGCACCAACTGACGCGAAAATCATGTACCGTCTAACCGTCGTCGTCTGTTGCGCCCTGTCGCTGTTTGTCGCCTCCCAGGTAAACCTCATTACAATATTATAATTATCATATTTATCGTGTTAACACTAAAACTAGGATTTAAATTTAAACAGACACCTTTTATGATAAATACATTATAATGATCTTTTTATGTGTGATTTTCTATATTAAACAAGTTAAATATATTTTATTTGATTCGATACTTTATGTATTTTTATGTATTTTACTATGATTCCATTTTTATCACATTTTGTCAATATGCTGACTTATAAAATAAAATACACTCTGTGCAACATTATATTTAGCTATGAGATTGTAAATGCTAAAATTATTTTAAAAAAATATGGTTGTATGTTATTATAATCAACACGATTAATGTATTTTTAAATATGAACAACTGCTGTCTTGAATCTACTTCGTTATTAATATTAAATACCAGGCAGAGTTATAATTTTGATTTTTTAACTATCATAATCAATTTCATACTTTTTAGTAAGATCGTTATGACCGTTATTTTTTTCATTTCAAACAGGCGACTGAAACCGTCCTCGAGTTCGGTGGCGAACTTTTTGAACACTGTGGTACTGATTGGACGTGTGCTAAACCTAAACTGCTCAAGTACTTCGGTGATTCTGTGCAAAAGGACGAGCTTAGGTTAACCAGGGACTTGTCGTTGTTGCGCACTCAGTCCGGTGAGGACGAGGAACAAGTGGCCAACATGGTAACGCATTTATAATAATTATTTTTTTTAACTTTCTCTTTCAAATTTTTCCTTACAGCACGTCTTATTATGATTTTCATACGTGCATAATATTAGTATTTTTGTATAGATCCCAAATGGTGATGACTACAAAAACGCAATGCGTGAAAACCTGGCGCTCCGGGCTTTGGACCGTATTGATGATTTTTTAAGCACTCACGAACTCCGTGTGAACCTGCCTGAAGAGCTACGGTCTTCCGTTGGCCAAATTAAAATGCCATTGACTGACCAAGACGCCACTGTCAACGCCGTACAGCAGGGACGAAGTGAGTACTCTTATTTAACTATTAAATACCTTAATACGGGGAAGGGTAAGGGATATGGTGAATTTCGGTGGTTTTTTGAAAAGACGTTAATTTATGATTATAAAATAAAATTGATTCGCAGGCCGTGGTTTTGTCCGGAAAATAGTCATTCCGTTCTTGTTGGGACTCAAGTTCAAGACGACCGTGTTGATACCGATCGCTATCGCCGTCATCGCATTAAAAACGTGGAAGGCCCTAACCCTCGGACTCCTGTCTTTAGTCCTGTCAGCCGCCATGGTCATTTACAGGTTCACTAAGCCCAAGGTGGTCGGCGTTGAGATACTACACTACCCGTCGCCGGTGCACGCGCACCACCACGACGGATACGCGCACGCCAGGGCTTACAGCGCGCAACAGCCCACCGAGCAGTAATACGAAGTTCAGAAAACGCCATTGTATTATATTTTATCTATTTATTATTATTACTGTTACTAAATTAATTATTTATTTATTGAGTTGACCGAAAAAAAAACCACAAACACTCGCAAATATTAAAAAACAACGTTTCGTTATTTATATATGCAATCGAGTGTTTTATTGAATAATCATCCTAGCACAGTATACATTTGATCGTTTAGATGATAAGCAAAGACGGGTGAGTTAATTTGAAATAATGAACTATCGGTTTAAAGAAAATAAAACAGAGTTAAAATTTGATTAAAAAAAAATCCCCTTGTAAAGTTAAAATGCATTAATTTAACTAAATTGTCGATATTTAATAATATACAATAAAATATATCAAACTCAAATTCGATTATTGTTAACTAAATTTTTACGAAAATTAACTGAATCTTAAAAAGATGGATTTATAAATTATATACAATCGAAATTAATTAATTAATAATATTTGTCAGCTACTAAAATGAACATAACTATAGTTATTAGTTCTGTTAAAACTTGTTAAACAAAATTTACTTTTAACTTTGTTAAAAATGCTTACTCATTGGATTGGAAATAATCCGGAAAATAACACACATTTTCGAATTTAGATGGAGCAACGGTTGTGGATCGTCTTTAAAAATGTATGTGTCAAGTTCATCTCTGGTTTCCAAAAAAAAAAGTAAAATAGTTTGAACTTATTGTTTTGGTAATAACTGTAACAAAAAATCGAAAAATTATTCTGTTACATATGTTTGGCACCACTAAAGCGAAAGATTATATTTGCATTGGTGATTTAACGAAACCACTGCCATGGGAAACTGCTAGGAATAACATCTTGGTAGGTTCCCAGTAGTTTCCCAGAAGGGTCGGGGAGCTACTTTATCCTCCGGTCTTGCCAGATTGCACAGGCCTCTTTGTGGCACTAGATATTAGTAGCGTCGTACAGAGGCAGATTGGGAAAATATTTCGGCGCGGTAAAATATTAAATAAACCGGCGCGAGGTTGTTGTAAATGATGTTGAGTTAGATCCATGACATTTTTAAGTTTCAACCATAAACATTTTTTACTATCATAAAATAACCAATTGTTTATATGTATATATGATGTTATATGTATACATTTTTGTAAATGTGGCAATATGTTAATATATTTGACTCTCTTTTCCATAAATTAGGTCCATTCCCAATTTTATATTTAGATCATTCCATAAATATAGAACCTCATTTGAAATTCTTCATATTTCATACTTTATAATCAATTGTTTAAACTTAGGTACACTATTTCGAAAAATTGTTTTATTAAGCAAAAATTATATGACCATCTGTTCAAAAAACAGCCACCTTTCCTTTTTGATACATCACTCATACTGACGAAAAATGTTCATAAAATCTCACAAGAAATTTAGAAATAGGTACCTATTAGAATAATAAGTAATACAAATTAACAAAAATAAAATACGAACATACGTCGTCGGTTAGCGTCGAGAAGAGTAAGTAAAAAATTGCCACCTAACCGTGCGAGCAACGAGACCGACGGGGTGTACTGCACGCATAGGCGGAAATCCATTGAAAAAGTTACGGGCTACGTTTTTTCTCATAAACCAAAACTGTGAGGAACTTTGCCCCTCAACATCCTCTCATAAATAATTCTGAACAAATTTGTAATTTCATACATGTAACATTCAATATAAATTATAGTCTATAAGTAAAACGTTATCGCAATAACGGGTTGAAGTATGGCTTTTAGGTCTGAGAAAAAAAAAATCAAAATATTGATAAACGTCTCATAGATTTTTTGTTTATATACTGTCCTAGAAAAATCTCCATTGATGAGATTTTTGATTTTTCTACTTTCCGACCGATTTGCATGGACATCGTGGATTTTTTTAAATATTTTGTGAGGAATTTATAAATTCGATAGCCCTAAAGACGGCTGTTTTAGTAGGGTTGTTCCTCAAAAGAATAGTTTTCAATACGAAATATTTGTTTTCTTTGAATATAATTATTATCAAATTCTTAATGATAGGTACCTACACATTTTATATTAGTTTCACAATACAATCGCTCTTTGAGGCATTGTGGTATTATAGTAAAACTACCTATTTTTATATATATATATGTAATTTGAGTGCTAAATTTTAATATTTTTCAAGAAAAAGATTTTCAAAAAATATGTATACTTCAAAGGGTTAAATTGATCTACCAAATACCATACAATTTTTGGAATTACCTACGTAGGTATTGTTGTATATGATAATTCACTCTTCACATTTACACTCATTCATGATACACATATATAATGTGCATAAAAACTTAAATCAACAGTTAACAATCTAAAAATTAACAATTATTCAACGGACGATAACTAAAAACAGTATAATACAAATCACTGTCCTACAGTGTTCAAACTTATAATTTTAATTTTTGTATAAGATATTATATTTATATTTTTAATATAAACAAATTTATGATATAAAAAATATTGTGTTATATTTTTTTGTTTTTTAAGAATATATTATGTGAAAATGAAAATGTATATATCTTTGCAAGAAATAGTTGGGGAGGCTTGATGGGGTTTTTGGGGAGCTAAGCCCTTCAAGCATCCTCTCCCCGATTTCCACCATTGCCTGCATGATGTTATAAACGCTGTGCTCGATGGACGATACGAGCATAACAATGTACATAAAATCATGTATATCGCTAATTTTAATAATAATTATACAAAATAATACCACAGATCAAATAAAACCATGAGTATTTTAACTAATCTAGATAACCGTCTCAATTGATTATTTTCCTATTTTTTTTTTTTTTATCGAAAAATATTCATAATTTACGATTTGTTTATTAAATTAAACAATAATTAGAAAAAAGATTAAAAAATATTTTCCTAAAATTATTATACTGCCGAAGCAGTCCAGTCCATCGGGAAAACTCCCGAATTCCCAGTGGGCCAATCTGTTCCTGGTGTCGTGGATTTATCCGTGACGCAAAGCCGACATGTTCAAATTCTCGTTGGGTAAGCGAGTGTCGGTACTTTCCCACCGAGGTCGTATCCGGCAAGAGATATCGAGACTATGGGCTCGCCTCTCCGCGAGATTGATCAGGGATCTTTTCGCGTTCCGACCGTCTGGTCGCATCGTGGGATGTCCTCGGTCAGCCCATTTATCTCTTGGAACGGAGATTGTGTAATCAAAAAATAATTGTGTTGGTAGGCTCCCAGCTGTCTCCGGTTTGGACTAATCGTCTATTCCGATGGTGGTTGGGTGTCGTGATGTGTCCTACTTTTGACTTATGAAAAGTTGGTCTTCGAAGCCCCGGTGTCGACCCAGTTGGGCGCCAAATGGAAGCCTCGTCATCCGCTGCGGACTCGCACCGTTGTCGATGCCATGTGATTGGATTTGGACGGGCATGTATGTTCCGGTAGGTAGTGGTTAATAAGCCAGGGGTTACCGACCCGACGGCAGCTGAACCGTAGGCAGACGGCAAGGTGAATTAAGGAGCGGTAGCTGGGGCCGCGCTTTAATGCATTGATATGCATCCGGAGTAGATGTTCGCCCTGAACCTCTGGGGCCCATAAATACCTCTGAAACCTAATATATGGACCGTAATTGTGGCTCCCGCTTTGGGAAAGCACCAAGTCTGGGATTGCTACTGGTGTTTTTTTAATATTTTATTACAAGGGTAGATAGAATTATATAGAACGCCATATACTGCGGTTGTCGTTTTTACTATAGGTAATAGTTTTATCTGTATTTGTCCGGCACCATTTCCGTAATCACGTGGTTTCCAATAGATGGTATACAAATCTCCGTTTCAAAAAAAAAAAAATAAATATGTAGTTATCGTTGTTAACATGAAAAAACTTCCTATGTGCTAGAATCTAGAACATGGTATTTTAGTAGCAAAGAGAATTAAAAAAAATATGTTTGATATTGTTGATGGTTGTGCCACTATTTTAGGGTGAGTGATTGGGAAATGTGGGTAAACATTGTTTTGTAAAGCTCAAAGTGCTTTTACAGAATAAGTTTATTAAGTTCGATTTTTTTTCTATCATTAAGTAAAATTAATTTGACGAACCTCAAGTAAAATGTTCACAGATTTCTAATCAGCTAAAACAATTTTAACCACATAAAACCAAATAAAAACTAAAAACCTAGAAAATATTAAATGCCGATAAATTACTAAAAAATCGGCAAAACGAATTTACCACGTCTAGAAAAAGTTGCTTTTATTATTCTGTGAATGTTTCAGATTTCTACAAATGTTTTTAATCGAATTACAATAAACAAATTAATAAAATTGAAAATAATAAAACTTTTATCATACACTTTCCTATTTTTGCAACTTTTTTCCTATTTCCCATGTTCTAAAGAAAGCAACATAGTTTTTAATATTTTTTTTCTGATTCTGGCAACTCGGTTTTCAACAATTTCATTCAGTTATCAAACAATTGCGGTAAAAAATATCGCCAAAGTTGTATTTTCACTAAACTGAATGACATTAACGTTTTTCTGTTTATACGATTATAGCTGCACATATCTAATAAGGTATCCAGCCAAAATAGCAAACGTAAAAATAGCGAACTAATAATAATGAAAAGAGCGAAAATACATAATAGGAAAAATATAATATATTTTTTAGTCATTATATTATTATAATCATAAATTTATTCAGTTCATAAGGTATTTAGGTTTTAATATTTTGGGTATTTAATCATAATTATAATTTTAAAAAAATCAATTAGGTATTTACGGACAAATTATATGCTACACATTTTACAAAGTTCTTATTATCATTAGTATAATAATTTTCAATTTATAATATACAGAATGATTCACTAAACACGCTCACCCCATTTTCTTGGTTAAATTTTGCATATTATATTCAAATTCTGATTTTTGGTTAGTGTTATTAAAGCTAATATTTTCGAATACTTAGATTTTTTACAACATTTAAGAAGTATCGTGTGGCAATACCAACTTTGGATTTTCAAATTAGAATATTTTACGTTTCGCTATTGATATCTAAGTATTCGAAAATATTGGCTGAATATCAGAATTTGAATATATGATGAATTTAACCAAAAAATTAGGGTGAGCATGTTTAGTGAATCACCATGTATACTTTTCACTGCTATGCATGATCGATTATTTTAAAATTCGCTATTTTTATTTACGTGATTTTTACATTCGTAGTTATTTGTTACGTTATTTTAGCCTAGATGACCCACCTAGTAACAGTAGTTTTTAGTTTAATTGAAATATTTTCTGAAAGGACTGAAAGTTCACGTAATATTTTCATTCCTTC